ATGTATTTAACAAGCGTCATGAAAAATTAATTTAGGGATAAAGATTAGATTTAGATTCTTGTTATACAGTCCACGATAGTTACTCTTAAAGGTGACATAAGATTCCTCGTTAAAAGCCTTCTAGCTCAAAAAAAATAAAACTTTTATAACATGGTCCCTATAGGGACCAAAGGACAAGAAAGGGTTAATAAGGATCATCGAAAAGCGCGAGAATCACACTGGATAAGGAAAGTAAACCTCACCTTGAATGTCAAAATTTAATATAGCTTAGTGTAAACTATTTGTAGATGCTATAATCCAATAATAATGATATTCTCAACTTAACTCGTTTAATCTAATTTAATTAGTGAGGAAAAATACTGTAATTTGTCTCGTATAATTAGTAAAATTTGGTCATGCTTACATACGAGTTAGTCTAGTATAGAACTTAAATTTGAAAGATACCATTCCTATAGGGTGAGAGCCATGATACTGTAAAAAAAAATTTTAAATTTGGCATACTCGCAATAATTGCTGTCATTATGATGATAATCTGTCACCGAAACGGACCGGTTTAGATCCGTTTACAATCGCAGCATTCATGATCCGTTTCTGGTCATAACTAATTATACACATTCATAGTATCATAGTATGACTTTCATAGTTTTACAGTGTCATTGTATCAAGACAAGCTTTATAGCTTCATAGTCTATTCATCTAAGAAGAAGTAATGTAATGTTGTCCTGTAAAGCACTTGCATGCTGCCGCCCTCCCTCCTGCGCTCTCCGGTAGTCAGCTATGATAGCGTGAACTATGGAAGTTGTACTATGATACTGCGAAACTATGAAATTCGTTATACTGTGAAAACGTGAAACTGTGTATGTGCGGTACTGGTATCATAAGGCGATACTATGAATTCATTGTTATACTATAGACCTTCACTGTATCAATTGACAGCTATGTCCTTCAACTTTTTAATAAAAAGTAACAAATCAAAGGTGTCTTTGTTGTTATTTGAACATGCTGTGTTTAACTCAACCTTCAATTTAATTCTTCTTCTTCTTTCACCAAGTAATTCAACAGAGATGAAGATTTTTAGGATTTTCTACGCTAAAAACGTCACTTCGAAGATATTTGCGGCCTGAGACATTTTTGTTATAAAAGTGAGAGCGTGGAATTAACTTTCAATCAATCGAGTTTCGATCTGTATAAAATTCTACTTGCGATCTCAGAAACCGTTAGTTGCGTGAATCGAATTCAACGAGTCTGAATATATTGTTTTGTGGTTTCTTTCTAGATTCTCGTACAATTCGTGATTTACATACTGATCTCTCTAACCGTTTCAAACTGTTCAATAGCATCAGTGAATATGAATCTAGTGAGAATTTTTCACTGGTTGACATCTAAATTTATAATGGCCCTAGGAGATTGTCGACAATGGAACAAAATGAAGAATAAATTGGTGATTTCTAAAAGAAATTCTCATCATTCCACTTATATTAAAAGTGAATGAAGGTTTCTAGATATCTTCAGCTCAGTGTTATAGTTCAGAATGTGAATATTGTTTTCAATCTAGCAATTTCTGCTTGTAGTTTTCATTATTACATTGAATATTAAGCACGAAATGAGTGAATCTGTGTTTCGAAACAGCGATCATTTACAGTGCAGTATTGTCACTTCTTTATGACACAGAGCGTGAGCAAACAAAACTTCCTCTTTCCTTGTTTCTTCGAGACATAAAAGTAATTTCCGTGTTGTGCACATGTGTATTTATATTTGACTCATTGAATTTGATTCACACGACTAATGGTTTCTGAGATCGGAAGTAGAATTTTACACAGATCGAAACTCGAATGAATGAAGGTTAATGCCGCGCTCTGAGGAACTAATGAGGAAGAACTGAGTTCATTTTTGCAAATTTTCAAACTTATCAAATTTGCTCGAACTAATTAGGGTGTTCAATGTGAATAAAGTGATGATAGATGACTAATTACAGATCGTTTCTAATTAGGAAGTGGTAGTTTGAAAATTAGAAACTACTTATAAAAATTTGAAAGCTAATTTTATAAAATTACTTATCTTGTGAATTTGAAAAAATGGATAATTTGGATAATTAATTATTACTTCTGAATGGAGTAAGCTAGCGAGCTGGGCCTTGCGTAGATGTCTATAAACGCTCTTCGTACAACAGTAATGAGTGGCTCATACAAGCAGACAAATAAGAGCAATTAGCAAACGAATGGCAAACTTATGTTTGCAATAATGACGAAATCGCGTTGAGTTCCTGTCAAAAAAATTTTTTAATGACGAAAGATCATTCACTAACTTCTTTTAATACAAAAGCAGTCATTAGTGTGTGGTTTTTGTAATTTTACAAATTTGAGAAATCAGGATTTTACCGTGGAATTGGTGAATTTAGTTAAATGTGCATATAAAAGTTTTGAAATGTTTACAGACTAATTTCCAAATATAAATTAGGAAATTTAGTGAAACGGATAATTCGACCATAAAACGAATAATTAATTATCCGAATTATCCATTTTTCAAATTCACAAGATAAGTAATTTTATAAAATTAGCTTTCAAATTTTTATAAGTAGTTTCTAATTTTCAAATTACCACTTCCTAATTAGAAACGATCTGTAATTAGTCACCTATCATCACTTTATTCACATTGAACATCCTAATTAGTTCGAGCAAATTCGATAAGTTTGAAAATTTGCAAAAATGAACTCAGTTCTTCCTAATTAGTTCGAAGAAATTTGAGAATAAAACGTGTTTCTCTGGCCAGCATTGTCTTTGATCTCGATCTTGAACTACCGCTACTCTACGCACTACTCGCATCCAATAATATCTCACTCGTATTATGCAATAAACTATGTCCTGTGAATTCCAACAGAGGTGCAGTCGACTCAATTGAGTACTTTTCTTATGATTCGCTACTACCACTTCCAAATATGTTTGTCAAACACTTTGTATCACATTCTTGTAAATAAATATTTGTTATTTCTTCACCTTCTTCAATCTGTGTAATAAGGAATGCTGAATAAGGAAGGATCAACACTTCACGTTCATTTTCAAATTCCGATTTTCCTGATATATCAAGAGCAGTACGATTCTCGTTGACTAGCGTATAAGTACAGAAGTATCCGTGTGTGTCAAGACTCTTAGGTACACTTGAATCACAGAAGCACTGTGCGATTGCAGGATCTTTTGATGTTGAAAGGAAGGTGGTTGTAATAATACAAGAGTCAACAGTGTAGTGAGCAAGAGCATTCTTAGGTACGACAATGCCACGGTAGACGCCTCCTTTGAAGTTCAATTCTTGGAATTTTGGGTGATGTAAAAGGATACTTGTAATTGATTTAGTACCGTCTTCTGTCGAATAGAGACAGTCACAACAAAATTTACTACAACCATTCTTCAGATCATGTATAACATTACGTGCCATATCTGTGTTGAGCAATTCTGAAAATTTTTGACTTATTGTATACGCTGTAATAATGAAGTATGGGTCCTGTTGAAGTAATGCATGTTTAAAATAATCACGAATTTTTTCCCCATCTGCACTTGATACATCTTGAAGATGTGCATTGATATAACCTTTCTTTGTTGAATAGAGTTTTTGTTTGAGACCTTTTTCAGTCATTGATGTAGACAGTTTTAATTCACGACGAAATCTCAATGCTTTCTGTGATGCATTTCGATCAACTAATTCCCATTCGTAGAAAGTATTGTCGTTCACTAAGGAACAACTTTCACATTTAATCTTTCGTTGAAATAATGTAGTGGGGAAGTTGCAACTGCTGTGTAGAAATACGAAACGAGATGATTTTGGACGTTTGAATAGGTCTTCGATTTCTTTTGTCGATGCCAGTTCATATGCTTGTCTATCATCTGCATTTCTTAATGATCGTTGTGCACCGTAGCGAAGAAGGAGTCTGGTGATTTCTTTGTTTTGATTACGTGTTGCAACGTGTAAGGCTGTTTCGTTGTTCGGTGGGTATTGTACGTCAATCTGTTTCGGTTTCATTTTCTTCAAACATGATTCTACACGTGCTAGATCGTTCTTTTGGCATGCCAAGTAGAGTGGTGAGGATGTCATTGGTGAGTGAGAGCGATGACGACGTGTAGTATTAAGTGCAGTCGATGTTGCTGCGGTTCTTGTGTGTGTGACAAGTAGTTACTACACTTTTATTTCGCTTTTCTATGTCGCGTTTATTACTTCTTCGATGTCTGTTTGTCATACGATCATACAGAAAGGAAGAAAAAAAGTATATACTTTTGCACTCTCGTTATGTATTCGATCTTTTCTATAGAGCGATACACCCACATTTTCGCGAAGACTTGTTTATTGAAAAAGAAGAATAAATGAGCCTGGTTTTGTATTTTGTACATCATGTTTTAAAAACTGCATGTACGGTTACAGACAGTTTCATACACTTTTTTCATACAGTACATACAGTTTCACATCATGAAAATATCTTTTGTGTGAAGTTACTTTTCGAACTCACTCTCACAATGCATAACGCAGTTCTTTGAGTCTTATTCTTCTACCACCATGTTTGCCTGCTGCCCTTTCACCGAAAAAGCTTCAACATCATGGCTGTTTGGTTTCTTGATGCACGAGATCACCAAATCCGGCAGGTGACAGCTCGCCGTTACGCGTAATTTCGCCGAAGTTTGAGTGAAGTTTTCACTCTTTTTTTTTAGCGTTGGCTCTGATGCACTTTTGATGGCTTATATTACCATGGTTCTTCTATATAGAAAGATAAAGAAGTCAAATTGAACATATTGAACATAAACTCATTCCATTTTAGGGTCTTAAATAGATCGTTTTTTCACCGTTTACGGATCGTATTGTAAACGTTTTCTTACCATCTACTAGCCGTTTATTGACCGTTTACTAGTCGTTTTGAGAGCGTTAACAGGCCGTCTTTTTGGGTTGGGCTACTATATTAACTCCTAAAATATTTTCGTCCGGCCTTCGTCATACTGATCTATCTGTTGAATCTACTCTTTCGCACTAATCATTTAACGGCACTATAATTTGTTTTGCTTACTTGACATCAGTACATGTGCTTGCCAGTCTGTCACTGTAACTATATGGCTATATCGGATCGAAAACTAACATTATCAAAGTGCTATTTAAGCTTGCAGGCTTACGTACCACTTTACAGTTTATTTCAGTCCATCTACACAGTGTGAAATATGATGGATGAAAACCGAAAAATACACGCATATTTGATGCTTCAAACGGTAAACAGGTCGTTAACGGCCCGTTAACGGACGTTTTTAGGCCGTTTTTTAGTACTTTATGCTACAGTGATTTTGATGAATTTTGAATGTTTCATGACACATAGATACTTCGGGGTAATTAGAAACACTTAGAAATTTTCGTTGCTTTTTTGCTTTTTCTTGGCCGTTGGTCATCGGAAAACTTCCTATTGAAGATGATGGTAGACCAAGCATTTTTCTACAGGCACACGTAAAAATCTTTTGAAAATCTCCCACCGGTTTTGAGCCAGATCGAGAATGCGAAAGGCTTCTATTAAAGTGTCTCCAGTTATCCTGTACGAAGTAATTAGAGACACTCCATTCAAATACATGGAGTTAATGATGTACAATTGCTGGTTAATGAAGCTTAGATTATAATTAGTTCAAAAATGCCTCATTTTATAGTCCGCCCATGTCGACTATCGCGATAAAGTCGCGGCGCGAACGCGGAATGCGGTCGCTTATAGACTAGCGAAATTCTTGCTAATTTCGCGATCGCTATAAAGTCGCGATGGAACGGGATTTTCCCTATATAGTCGCTACATTCGCGACATGACTCGCGCTGTCGCGTCACGACTCCTTCATTTTCTCCTATTAGTGGGCGCGACACTTTGTTCTCGCGATGTCGCGAATGCTCCTTCGTGTCCCATTAACTGACATTTCATGCACGGGAAGTTTCTCCTCATGGATGATTCGTTTTTGATCTTATATTTTTGGCAAATAATGGGCACAAAGTACCGACAAGCGTAAAATAAATACAAGAAAAAGGGGGGATAGGACGGCCACTACGAAAAAGCTGCAAGTCTTTGAGTACCCCCTAAACAGCTGTCATTGTCGTAAGAGCTCGTATAATACACGATGCAGAAGTACGAATATAACGACGATAAGCTTGCGAACTCCATCGTCCTAAAATCTTGATCGAATAGATACTCCTGCTTTTGCTGCAGAAGTAGCAGCCTCAATTCATCAGGTCGCCGACGCATTGTATGTCGCTAGTTTATCGGAATCTGTCAGATTAGACAACGAAGCGACTGTTAAAGGATAGAAACTAGCACTTATATCTCACAAAACTAAGTACGAACTCTCAGAAATTCCCAGATTCCAGGTGTATAAAAAAAGAAATATCTATGCACTTCTAATTCAATTAAAATTATGAACTTTCGAAGATTTTGCCGTTCTGCGGCACGAGAGTGGCTAACTTTCACAGTGCATAGATGGTTTATGTGCT